CACTGTAATTCACTCCCTGAACATAGCTTACTTACTTTTTCTTTTGAGCGACTAACCCCTGCGGGACGATAAGTCTTGGATATGTTGAATGATGGCAATCTTTGCGCGACGATCGGTAACAAGGTTAGCGCAATGTGAGATCCAGCGCTGGTACCAGTTATGAATTCCATTTATGGATTGGGTGCCTAGTAGTTCCGAAATAACCTTGATCGTGCTGCTTTAGGTCTTCAGTTAGCCCCCGAGTCGGCAACGGCGTGAGTTGAATTTCGGGCCTTCGGTGCCCGTGACCAAATCACATAAGGTGCCGGCGTTGTAGCATGCTCGAAAACTTGTCGATGTTCGACCAGTGCCGTCGAACCTCATCATTGGAAACTTGATCTCTTCTGTCTACTTATGAGATGCGGTATAAGCACCAATGATCAGAGACCTCGCGCATCCTTGCATCTTTTACTCTTGCCGGCCATGTTTCACAATCATAAATGAGGACGCCGCAGATAAAAGCCCGATGAACTCGAAGCACAGTTCCTAGACTTATTTTTGCATTGGTTCTACAACGATCGGGGAATTTTAAGGAAGGCTCTTCTAGTTCCATTTGCACGAGGCTGGATTTCTTCCTTAGCCTGGCCGTTTGGATGGATTGTAGTTCCAACTTGGGTTGATGAGAAGAGCTCCCCGTTAATCGACAGGGGTTGTGTCGTGACCGAAGTTTCGGTAGAAAATGTTTTGGTTCTCGACGTGTTGATGTCTAGTCCCATGACCTGTGTAAGCTGAATAATACGACTGGCAGCAGTTCGCAGGTTGTCCATGGTGTCCCCAAGTACACCGACCTCACCTGCGACGTTGAAGTCTATTATCTATGTGCCTGAACCAAGCTGCATTCTGGGTAGTCTATGAGTGCTTGTTGCATTATTCAGTCTGTCAAGTAATTGAATAACACCGGCAATAGTGGACACTCAGCTAATTCTTCTCCATAGATAGGGATATATGCCCGGGTCCTTGAGTAGTATGACTGATAGTTTGGTGGACCTCTAGATCATCCCTTCGGATTAGAATATGCACCACAAGGATTCTCTATCGACAGAGTCAATGGCCCACACTGTTGCCTATCTACAGGTCTACTATTTCCTCATACCCACTCGTTTGGTTACTGTCACTGGCATGCTTTGGAACCTCTTGTTCGAGTTTGAAGCCAATCCATTGCTATCGAACTTTGGTGATAGGCTTCTTTGCTGTCGTATGGTTCTCTGTCATGCCTTACCCGATGGAGTCTTGTATGGTTCGCCACGTCAAATTCTGAGGCTTAGGTTCCCGGTTCCCATCACAAGATAGCAGGTGCCTGTGACTATGGAGTTCACCCTCTATCTGCGTATTAAAAAGTACATATATCTCTATCCGTCCTTGGGGTCCGAAAAATTGCACAATTGGTTGGTTGGAAACAGTCGGTTATTATCAGGCTAGAACGCTTGAGACGGTATGCATGCAGAGTTCCATTGTGCATTCTGTGTATTGAACGTAGTGGTTCACCTTCTCTCCTCCGTCCCCTCGAAGTAGGTCCAATCCCTGTCCGCCTTAAATTTCACCACTAACCTTGTATGAATTGCGAGTTTGGTAGCAATCACTGAAGTTCGCCTTACTATATTTCGTTGCACGGTGATGACGATGATGGCCTTGACATCATCCAGTCGGATAACTCACCCCTTAGATTACTTATTAATGATAATAATAATTAATAACTTTGAATAATATACGAGTTTGCAACAACCAGTGAAGTGCCGTTCACTGTATTTGGCTGTGCGATTATAATTATTCATTGATATCTGCAGATGAACACCAACGGTGCTCTAATTCAAGTACATTAACGAAGTTTTTGAAAACTTAACTGCATGCTCGGGCGTCGGTTGTGTCTGTATGCTCCACGCGTGTCATCAGATAGACTTCCTCAGTATGCTGTTTCCCGGTGCAGGTGGCGAGTCGAAGAATTTCGAATAAAATCAATCTAAGGCCTGGCATGAAGGTTTTACCAATGGACTTGCCACATATTGATCTGGGTTTGCTTCTTAGTTGGGAACCTGGGATCGGTCGTATCAATGGTTAGAGAGACGCTAAGTGAAATGAATAAGGGGTTGTCTTCTATGGCTAGTCTGTGACACTTGGAAGGCACCGGACTCTACGCAGCATTCTTTTTAGGATGTGCCATGGAGTCAAATAACTGGTATTTCATTCGACAGTCGACAAACCTGAAAAGCTTATTTGGAACATTGCACAGTACAAAATGTCTTTGTCTCAGAATGCGTCTGATCATCCCAAAAAAGAGCCATAATATACAGGAATTTAAGAAAGGTTACTGGTGTGTTCTTCGATGTGATAACAATTCGCCTTAGTTTACTAAAAACATGTACGAATCCAAGTACTTCATCTCGAAAAAAAGACAGGAAGGTTGAAAGTGAAATGAGAGTTTCAGTTTCAGTGGACTGATGTTGCAGAAAAAGAAATTGCGAAGATGCATGAACGCCACTGTTCACGATACTCAGCCTTATCACATATCCAGGGAGCTTAACGAAACCTATGTGACTCAGACTCCTGGTTAGGGTTTTCATACCCTCATGCCAGGTCTTAGCTTGATCACCCTTGGCTTTACTCCACCCACTTTCTGCCTCGGCGAACATCGCTCGCTGTGGCAACCTATTTGGTTAACCAAAACTGATCTTTGATCGATCCCTCAATACCGTGCTTTAACGTCGACAGTTAGCTCTCGATTTTTAGGCTTCTAAGTATAAATTTTATCTCTCGAACGTTTCTAACCATTGCTGTTTGGTATTATAACGGTCCAAAATTATTTTTAGCCTCCTACGATGTGTGGTAAAAAACTGTAATACCTCACCTCAATGATAACCAAAACGAGAATACAATTGTATCTTGCACGAAGTAGACTAATTTTTGTCAATGAAGAGTATGGAGAGCCCTTTTGAACTACCGTGATTACCGATGGAATTTGTACGTAATTCATGTGACGCGTCTTTGCTATCCCTTTGCTATCTGGTTCATATATCACTGTCATACACGGCTACTCCATATGCCTCATCGGATCTGACCGATGACTGCAGCTTCTGCATCCTTGTTTTCCCTGTTCCAATTACCGAACTATCTGCTAGAAGTTATGAAAAATGCACCTTGGAACACCGGAAGTCTGACCACTTTCTATTAGAACCAAAAAACACCAAAGTACCTATTGAACGAGGATATAGACAAATATAATGTGAAAATGTTTTGAGAACGGCTCTATTGTACTAGTACAGTGTTTGTTATATTGTGTATGATAATGCCCCCACGCCGTCTGCCCCGCCTGTTCCCCAAGCTGTCTAGTCTGTGTTCTCGGTTGTGGGGTTTACTCTGCTCAGTGAATCTAATGCAGAGTTTATTCGCTAGGCCAATGAATCAGTCGAAAGTTTTCCAATGGTTTTCCATCAAACCCTAGTTACAAAAGTGAATTCGTCGTCTATATGGCAAATGAAACGTGAACTGAAAGGCTGGGAAGCACAACTGGACAGCTGTTTCGACCTGGTTCGGTCTCATCAGCAGTGCGCGAATTCATCGACCCAACTAGGGATGGAACCCGGGACCTAATGGGCAGAACGCAAGCATCCTACCCACTCGGTCACCGTTTTTCATTTTCCATTTCCACGATATAGCAGAATCCTAGCTTTTCAGTTCGCGTTTCATTTGCTATATACACGACGAATTCACCTTTGAAAGTACATCAAATCCTCCATTACTCATTTCAAACCCTAATTAGTTTGAATGTATCATCCATCTATATATGATTTTTTCTCGGTTATTCTCGTTTTCTTTCGTTCTAACATACCCATATCGGAATTCGCACAAGTCTGCCATATACTACTGATTACGTCTGGTTTTCCAGCAGTAGTAATACTGATTTGGACGCCCGAAGGATGCGCGATTTGAGAGACTTGATTGTATTGTAATCTGTATGCACCGTATTCATCCGATCTTTGTACTATTCAAAGTGAATTTTTTTCCTTAGCCGAAATTGTGGATGACCAGGTAAGTAGTTATTACAAAATGATTGCGTCCGTGTACCATGATGTGCATGTTAGTCAGGAAAACTGAGCTGAGCACATAATACTGGAGCAGTGCTTTGCTCACGGTTTCGACAGTTTCACGATTTTGCCAACAACTACTTTTAAGTAGTAAGTTTATTTTACTTCCAGTAGACGATCCCTCTATCTGTGGACTATTGTTTTATTATCTTTTTTGTCTGTTTTAGTGCATCGATTTTGAAGTGGGTAAGAAAGAGGACATGTCTGGGGATAGGTCATCCGGCGGGAGCGTTTCGGGTGCACCGGACAATCGAAGAACGGAACACCCCTTCAACGTAAATGATGTTCCAGTCAAGCTGCAAACCTCCGTCGATCATGATGATAATGCCGAATGTGGTACAGCCCAGAACGAAAATATATTAGTATTGGTGAAACATAACGAAAACCCAGATGCAGAGGAGTCTACCTCCATGGCATCGGCAAAGTGTGAGCAAGCGGCACAAGAAAAACACGCCGACGTGAAGGAGGACGAGGATGACTTACAAAAGTCAAAATTGAGCGATTCGAGTGGGATGGAAGAGAAGTCCACATCGGGAAACGAAACAAGCACGGATGAACCGGAAGAATGCCTGATTACGGTGAGCGTCAAACGTGAAGGCTTTTCATTCGTGTACTATTAATGGACGGTCTAGTCCATTTTGTACAGAACAGAACAGTTATATGTTTCACGTTAAAAACCGCTGGATTTATATAAATTGCTGATGGTATTCAAATGATCGGATATGCCCATGTCTCTTTTCAAGTGATAGCCGTCTTAGTAACTGTTATACATCACTCAATGTTAACCTTTCCATTTGTTGCACTTTCAGGAACCCGACAAAAATGCATTCATGCTTGTGACTCGGGACAAGTCCCAGTTGGACGCGTTGATTCAGCGTTTGCAGGCTTTCCTACGGGCCGCTGAGAACAAAGCAGTTTCGCTAGATTCTCGCACACGAGTCGACCACTCGGCTATGTCCGATCAACCTCTATCAACCGACCACCAATCGGAACCGGTTGTCGGATCGCCTTACTCAGTTGGGACATCTCCTAGTGATAGCGATTCCTCACTGTCTTCCCTCTCATCCCAACTGTCCGGGGTTTCTTCATTAGATACCAGCTGCACTGTCAAGCGAAAACGTCGAGCCAGATCAAAAAAAGCGCCCAAGGTAAGTTGTTGCAGTTGTTATGCATTGTTTGAATGCGGCTAATTGGGCTGGTATATTCTGTTTCGGATGTTTGAATTGCTGTCGCGGTGATCATGGACTCATTTATAGATCTTTTTCCCTTACGTGTCTGTTGACGCTTTTCTGGAGTCGCAATCTCGCTAGGCGCGATGATGATCTCGCTTATTTTCTTTCAATAACAAGCAGCTTGATTGATTGATCGATTGATGGAGACACTCCAATTTTATCAGACAGAACATAAACCAGACTTGCAATCAAAGTACAACAGGCGATGACCTAACCCATCTCGGAGCACACGAAGGGTGTTCATGTTGAGTAATGTTTTTCTTCAGATAAAGAGAGAGGAATAAGAACAACTCAATTTTCTCCTCGGCGACGACTTTCTGTTCCCTTCTAATCATGATAAACCTAATAATCTTTTTATTCGGTTCACTGCATAAACAATTGCACAGTTTTTCAAAAGGGGACATGGTCCACCCCACTTGCGAAAATGGGAAATTCGGACGGTGCTGGTGGGATTTGAATACAATTTCCTCGGTAATGTGAACATGATCTGTGCCGTTTGACCATTACCTCTACTTGGGCCCAGAATCTTCATACAGTATACGATTTTATTCTTATACGCAATCGTATACTCCTCCGACAAACCACCATCGGGCTAACGAATCAGAGCCCTTACTTCATCTGTCCGTCCGTGCGAATCGAGTTTAGTGGTTTGTGAGCGGCTTTCTACTTTCCATTTCGCCGGGGTTCGTTCTCTTGCTCGGCTTGAAACAGTACAGAGAAGTATCTCATTGCCGAGGATAACAATCTAAACGTACGACGTATTTCTTTATCTGAAGGTTCCCAGTATGAAATCACTAGCATCTTCAGAAGACGGGTGTGATTATCTTACACTTCCGAACACAAATCGATGTGTGTCATCCCACTCGGGTGGAATGTGCCCCCTCATCTGATCACGGAATCACTGTCAGTCCCGTTGCGTCATTTACGTATACGTGCCTGGTCGATTGATCGTTTCGATCAATCAAGTAACACATGATCCAGTCAATCGGTCCACCTGTTTTGTGCAACGAAAACCCTTCAAAGGTTAACTAATCGAGTGTATCAACACGTGACTTTGTGATGTCAACCTTTATCAAGTGCGCTTGACTGGTATAGAATGCGGACGATGCCCTATGCAACCCAAACTCCGTTTTCGCAACAATGCAAATCAGCTAGCGTCCCGAAGGCAATGTCAGCATCAACCTGGTTCACCACGCACAATCGAGCTGAGACCAGATTTAAAGTACGAGTTCACCTCGTCATTAGAAAACTCACTCAACCTCCCTGTTTCTCTCGCTTGATCCTTTGATGGATATTGTACAACATTGATGATCTTTTGCAGCACAAATATTCAAACTTTTTTGACCTGTTTGCAACTAACCACTGGAGAAACAATAGAATCGGTGAATTTTTTTGGCAGCCTAACTAGAAAGCGATCGAAACGACCTGCTGGTCCGAATCATAAATCCATCACTTGTCTTTTATGCTTGGAACCATGGTATCAACGTGCATCGACAAATGACGTTGATGCTTCCGAAGTTCCCCGAAAAGATCAACCTTTCTTTAGAAAGATGCTCACGAATAGGGCAACTCTTCAAAAGCTTCGTAAGGAATGCTCAAGGTGTATTATTATTGGTCAGATCGCCTCTGCTTCAACCGATCTATGCTGATCAACGAATCATTTTTCACTTTTTATAGATCACTGGCATTTATCACATCTCTCGTTACTTTCATGCTGACTTGTCCTATTTCAAAAATGAGATTAAGTTGCCCTGGTTCACGTTTTGCTGAGCTGGTTCACCTTTCGGAATGTTTCTACCGGGCGAAGCAACTGAGTACGCTCACCGGATTGTGTTACTCCGTGGATTACAATCCTATTTCTCACGATACAGCAATTAAGTGATTTGTGCATTATGCCTAAGTGCAGAGTTTCAGTCTTAGCCGATACGCTGTGCTCCAAAGTAAACGACGGACCCAAAATGATCACTCGCGGGGATCCATTTAAGATTGCCATCGTCACTGGCAAATACTGTTAGGTACGGCCCATGCCGTGTTACGTGCCAGAGTCTCCCTATTCACGGTAAACAACCGGACCCGGATGCCTGCAGTGCAATGTGTGTGTGTGTGTGTGTGTGTGACAACTGTGAATTGGCTTTCGGGTCAGAGCTCTCATCGCTCTTCGTTTCAACCGCCGGCACAGGACTCAACGAAGACTTGCAACCGCAGTCTATCTGAATCTATTTTCACTTAATTTGGTGCCGCTTCCAGCTTGCACATTCTTCCCCCTTCCACACACTTCGTTCAGCCGAGCAACCCGGAGACCAGCGAAAACCGCTGCGCCAAAGTGCAGCAGTATTAATAGAAAATGAATCAGACTATTTGAATAATATTGAAAAATAGTTATTTTGCCTCATCCAAAAGTGCAGTTACTGTGAATTACCTGCTTTCCATATGCCCATTATCCTCTCCATTTATTTTTATCTCTAAAATCGTTCCACGTTGAAACCGTAGATGGCTCAAATCAGCCTGTGCTGCGACCGAATGGCGAACATGGTCAAAATGTCTAATTCAGTGTTGATGTTTGACTTATAAACAACGGGCTAACAGACACTGACTGATATTTCAATAAACCATAGAGAACATTCGAACAATCACAAACGTCTTCTCCACCTTGTTCAATAATTACTGAATTGCATTATAACACACATACCTATTTCTTTTGTGCGAATCTAATCGATGTGTTCATCTTTGAATAAATGAGAGGATGCCAACGTTTTACCCGAACCATTTCATTTTGTTTTTATCAACGTCCAGGTGATGCAGGTAGATCCGGTCGATCCACGACACAAACGTTACGACACTGCGATTGTTGCCTTGCGAGAACTGATCACCAATTTGGAAACGCTGTACAAGACCAACGCTCCAATGCACACCGAATGTGAGGATGCGAAACAATTGGTCCGATTACGCTTGCGCAAGGACGTGGAATCGTGGAAAGCGGAGGAGGTGACTCTATCCGCGACCAATATCAATTCTTTTTACTTCACCCTTATGGGAACTCATTACCTAGGACTAAATTTTTCTACTTAGGAACCAAATCAAATTTGAATCCACGCGAAAGTTGAATAACGAGTGTGGAAATAGGGTAAACCAATAATCGGCGTCCCATATGCACGGTCGTGTCGTGAAAATACACCCTAATAGTCTGACTCTGACGCTGTTCTACAATGGAATCGGATTAATCGCTTACGGTCGCTGGATTGTTGCCCTCCCCACAGAACTTGACCATTTTTTGTTGGAAAACCCTTATCGATTTCACCAATCAGCTTGAGCATTACCTTTTCACTTTTCTGTTATCTTCTCCCACTTTCGATTCATCCTGTCCTGAATTAGCAACAAACAAATCATTTAACTCTAAAGTTGACCGTAGTAAAATGGATATTAGGTCTGTTTGTTCGTTAGCAAGCATTTCCGCAATACGGTATTGTCAGCAAAGCAGAAACTTAGTCTGGGTGAAGGTGGCGCAGTGGTTTAGTCGCCGTTACTGGCGTACTTTGGACCCTATAGTCCGAGGTTCAAGCCCCGCCACCCGACTTTGGTGGTGGGCAGCTTTGCTGTCGTCCGGTTCAATATCACGCCTGAACTATCGGGACCTTATGTGGTTCACCACTCCAGGTCCCGCGGGGCTTAGATTACCGGTTTCTACCACGGAACAGCAGGTCCTCGTGACTATGGGGCTCGACCCGTCTGTTGTTCGTCACACTTGGGTGTACTCAAAAGAAAAGACTGTCTATTGGGCACAGTGGCAATTCCGGTGTAGGTGGTAGGGAGCGAAAATCTAATCACCACACTTGCTATTACCATGGAATTTAATCCTTCACTGTTCACACCTATCTGAGATCAGTTTTGTGCTAGGCATGTGATGAATCCCGCATGTTTAAGGACGGATTTAGGCAACCCATCCGGTGCTGGAGTCAACAGCCTCCCTCACGCAATTTTCAGTTGAAATGGAGGACCGACATCAGCTTATAGAAACTAACACACTTAACGCCATCTTATTGCATTTCTCTATCATTAGATGGTGTCCTTTTCATATCCATTGACCATCTGTTTGTCCTAATTCGCCTTGTTTGTTTCCACCCCACCTCCAGGAAAAGCGTTCCCGAGCCAATGCAAACAAGCCACTCCAATCTCCCGAACCGGACACATCCGATTCTATCATTCCCCAGCCGGATTTGGCCAAAGAACGTGCTGAGCGCCTGCAACGTCGCGAGCAGCTTCGTAACCGAAATCTCGATGACTCGGACTCAGACTCTCAAAGCGGTTCATGGACCGTCCAGGGATCAACTAAACCCAAGTCAGACGTAGTACCAGGTCCCTTACCCGAGTTCAATCCTATTCGTGCCGGACCCTGGGGGTCAACTCCCAAAATTCCCATTCTGCGTATTACCAAAGATACCGACCGGTCCCAACAACAACAAAAACAGCAATCAGCGTTGGCGCATACCGTTATTCCGGAACTGCACAATCCAGCTGTTTCATCACCTCCAAATCCCAGATGTCTTCCTCGTCCTCCAAAATCCCCATCCGTACTGCCTCCGTCCATCGCTGAGACTACGCGCATTCGATACCGTCTCATGCCCCCCATTTACACTGTTCGACCGCCACTTCCCGCACCCACACTGGGACCCACTTGTAGTTCACCAATGAGCATTCCAAACGGCGCTATTATGTCACCCACAATCAACAGTCAACCGCGATTGATAAAACCGGCTGTTAGTCCTTCACCTGCAACTACACGTAAAGTGTACCGTGTGTGCGATTATTTGTTCACAGATGATGCAATGCCTGTCCGACTCGAAGCGAACGGTACGTTGCATCCCGTTCCGGTCGAATCTGTACCTGCCAACTTGCGGCAAGTAGCAAAGCAAATGATTGCCCGATACAAACAGCAAGTACAACAAAAACAACAGCAGCAACCGCAACAACCACAACAGCAAGCCCAGCCAACCGAATCCCCAACCCAGACACCGAAACAGTCCTCACCCCAGAGCACTTCCGTGTCGACCTCGAGCACTTCGCAAAAGTGTGTTGCAGTTACAATGGGACAATCCACACCCTAAAGACTTCAATGCCCGTTTTTCTAATTTTTGCTTCCTCCCTGTTCATTTCATACACTCGTCCCACATTCCCACATTGTCTTGTGTTTGGTCTGGCTGTCACATGTGTGCATGTACTGGCTCGTTTGTTCAGCTTCCAAATGAACGGTCTTTTCACCACTTGTAAACCTCAACCTCCTGACGTCTGTTCCCCACCCCCGCCGTGAAACAGTATCAGCTCGTCATTCTTTCATCCATTATCAGCCAAGTTCGCGTTTCTAGATTGTTAACCTCTGTTGTTGCTGACGACCATAGGTGAATCGATCAAGTTCTTGTTCTCCTGTCGGTATTTTTCCTCGCATTCTGTTACATTCCCCGTACCCGTTATCCCCCAATTTCCTCTCGCCAGCATCTTTTATTGTTGCGCACGGCTGTCCGCCAACCTTCATCGCTCACCGTGTTTTTTTTTCACGAGCTGTGGGCAACAACAACAATGATGCATTTACGTGATTTGGCAGTGATCGATCGAGAAAGACAATGCAAAGTTTGAAAAATAAAATATCCAAGGGACGGTTTTATTCTTTACGACCATTTGTGTATACATGTCATATAAACTACTGATCCACATGCATAAATGCGTACAATCGAAAATGTACACAGAGAGACCTTAATTCATGCGTGTGTACATGTACCACTATTATGCCCATCCTTATTATATAAATCATTGATCTGTGTGTGTGTGTGTGTCTATGCAAAACCGACGGATATGGTATCTACTTTTTATTGTTGTTGTCCCCACCCCCTCTCTCTCTTTTGCACACTGTTCCTCACCCACTCATCAAATTGTGGGTAGGGTTTCCTGTTTCATCGTCGTTCGGCGTCATCAGCTCTTGGGCTAGGGGGAGGGGTGAGGTTGGATCGCAAATGCAGCAGGTGCGATCATTTTCATGGCGCCTTCCCCNCCCCCCCCCCCCGCCGTTGTCAGGAGCTTGTATTTTGTCCTCCCAAACGGTGAATTTGTTGACCCAATAGTCCTCGCTAGATCATGGTTAATTCGATTGGTGGGTTATGCCTAAAAGGTCACTGTGCTGATGAACGACGGAAATCTCTAATTCTTTTTTTCTTTCAGTGTCTGTCTGGTGTTTTGTCATTGCATCAAAGCAGTGTGGTAGCTAATGCGGATTAGGCAATCGATGACGTAGATGAACCTCCTGTATACTTGCACAACTGTTTGTGGAGATTTAGCGTACAAACGTTCATCATCATCATCATCATCATCATATATATATAAATATATATATATATATATATCGCTCGTCTGAGACTAGACTGTGTGCCAAACAAATCAGGTTACAATAATCTTTATAAATAAGAAAAAATGTTCCATGATTGGTTTGTGGGCGGAACACTGCCAGGTTGCCCAAGCCAAGGCAGGGGAATTTTCT